CGTGACGCCCACCGCCCACCGGCTTCAACTCCCCGCCCTCACTCCCCTGTAGGGCTGCCGCTGCCGCGGCCCCTCGCTGCTTCCCCCCCCCTTTTTTTTTCGTCTGGCTTCCTTCGCCCCTTCCCTCCCTCTCACCTCCGCGCGGAACGTCAGAGGCGGCAGCTGCGCCTTCTCCCCCCTCTCCGCCCTCAGGAGATGCACATATATATATATATATATATATACGTGCACGCCTGCATAGAAAAGGACGGCCGTGTCGCTGGAGCTGCAGAGCAACGGCTGTTGCCGCCATACTTGTCATCCCTGCTGCTTCTGCTGCTGCGGTTCCGCCGCTCACAGGTTCATGTGCGATTTCAGGAGCTCCCCGTAGTGCATCGCGTCTGCCTCCGGTCGCTGCTTCGTAATGGCGCCAATAATCACCGGCATGTCATCCGCAAGAGAAAAAATGTCTTCCGCGAGGAAGATGAGCACGTGGAAGTCGGCAAGTTTTTCCAGCATCGGCGCGTTGCGTCGCTTTGGGTCCTCCATGTAATTGCGCAGGTTGGCCAGCGCTGGAGGCTCCATGCCAGGCCGCGACACACGCAAGAAAAGGTTCCGCACCACCGGCGACTCAAACTGCTGCACCGCCACGTAGCTGGTGAACCAACGTGTGTCGATTTCGTGGCTGGGCGCCCGTGTCACGACACGCGGGTGGCCCTTCTCGTCGGTGTCCTGCTGCGCCACCTCGAGCGGGATGCTGCTGTAGACGTACTTGGCGCTCTCGAGGTCGGCGGTGTCGTCCGACTTCTCCCGCAGTACGCCAAGGCGATAGAAATGCACCGCCTGCGGCGACGTCTGCCACGCCTGACACTCGATGCGGCCCGTCGTGAGGCTGGGGCTCATCGTGAGCAGCACACACTCATCGCCAAAGCGTGACTGCTCCCTGGCGCAGAGCAGCATCTCGCGGGAACTCAGCACAATCTGCTCCACGTCACGCGGCGGGTGTGTGCAGACGGCGCCCACGCGGCGGAGGCCTAACAACTCCGCGATGCGGTCCACGGCACGGAGACGTTTGTCAGGGAGGTAGTGAAACGTGTACGCGTCCCCGTGCTGCTCGGGCTCGTACACCGCGTGCACCTCGACCGTCTTGAGGTTGGCGTCGTACTTGCCGTAGAGGATGCCGTAGCGCTGCAGCGACCAGTCCAGCTGCCGCACGAAGCTCTGAAAGAGGTTCAGCGAGGCGGCGTCCGCCCGCACCAGCTGCGTCCGGCTCTCCACCCACCGCACCCGTGAGCGGTCGATGGCCTCCATGAGCTCCGAGGAGCGGACGATGTTGGACCGCACAACGGCGCCCCCCACGATGGTGTGGCGCTCGCGGTTGTGAAATATGCCGGACTCCGGGCAAACCTCTCGCTTGTAGGGAGGCTCCTGGCACTCCGGGCACGGCTCCACGCGGGGCTTCTCCGCCTCGCTGAGCTGGCTGTACCGTGCCGCCCGCTCACGCCGGAGCTTGTCTAACTCCGACCCCGTTGGCATCCTGCCTCTGCGTCACCGGCGCCTCGCCCACGGGAATATTTTATCGCCTTCTCCTTCCTTCCTGTTTTCTTTTTCGTTTTGACTGCTTCTGTTTGTTTGTTTGTTTGTTTGTTTGTTTGTTCTCTCTTTTTGCTGGTCGTTCTTCTTCCCTCGCGCCCGCCCCCAGCGTGTGTGTGCGTGAGAGTGTGCAAAAGCGAGGGCGCCTGCGTGAGTGTCCACGTCCTGCACCGCCTCTCCCCCCCCCGCTTCTCCGCAGACGCGCAAAAAGGAAAAAAAACAAAAACGAAAAAACAAAAACAAAAAACTCTGCTTGCAGCCGCCGCGGGGAGCCGACGGCGCAGAAGAGAGACGGCGGTGAGGACGAAAAAAAAAGTAAGGAGGAGGAGGCGGGGCTCGCGAAGAAGTGACGCTCGGGGTGCAGAAGTGGGGGGTCACGAGAAGAAAAACGAAGAAAAAAGGAAGCGGCGAACAAAACAAAAACATTAACGCTCGTCTGTGGCGCGGCGTGCCCCTCGTTCTCCTCCCCCTCCTCCACCGCCGGCCGAGAGGGAAAGAGAGAGGGAGAAGGAGGGAGAAGGGGGGGAGGGGGGAGGGCGTCGCCTCAGAACGCCAAGTAGTGCTCCCCGCGCCTGTCAAACGGCTCGGTGCGGCCGAGCAGGCGGAGCACCGTGCGGTACGCCCCCGTCACCACCAGGGCGCGGGTGTTGGTGGTGACGGCCGACTCCCGCGCCCGCTTACGCCGCTCCGCGCCCCGCGGCCGCCCCTGCGCCTCCTCCGCGGCTCTTGGCGGAGGGTGGGCCGCGCTCTTCGCACCGTCACCCTCCACCCGCACTTTGATCAGGAAGTCGTCGTCGTCGTCGTCGCCGCCGTCGTCGTCGTCGCGGCCGTAGACGTCGTCGAGGCCGCCCTCCGGTGGGGCCGCCGCGACTGAGAGGATGCGCTGCGGCACCAGCACCCGCTCCTTCTCCTGCACGTACGCCTGCAGCTCCGCCAGGTTCCGGAAGCCAAAGACGCCGACGCCCGTGCCCGACCCCCGCACCCTCGCGGCCGTTTTCCCTCCCGCTGCGTTGCCCGGGGGGGTGGCCGCCGCACGCGCGTCGCCGCCGTCGCCCGCGCGCGCCTGCCGCAGTTCCTCGCGCCGTTTCCACTCCGCCTCGACACGGTGCATCATGGGGCGCAGCTTGTGCTCCACCCAGTAGGCGTGGTAGGTCGGCGGCCACGCCTCGCACACCTCGTCGCACAGCAGGAGGTCGGCGCAGAGCTGCCGCATGGACGTCGTCACACTCGCGTCCTCGGCGCAGGCAATCGTCACCTCGTCGGTGAGGGAGGGGGCGAAGAAGGGCTCCAGCTCCTCCGGGGCGGCGGTGTAGCGTGCGATGAAGAGCGCCAGGGCCCGAATTGGGCGCCGCGGGTGCCGCACAAAGTGCACCAGCGCGTCCCGGTAGCTGAGCCCGAGGCGGTAGAAAACCCCCATCGCCTGCAGGAAGGGGCTCGCGTTGCCCTCCTCGTCCATCACGCCAACGTACTGCACCTCCCGCTCGCAGAACCGCAGCACCCCCTCCACGCGCTGCGCATGGCGCTCTGTGTCACGCATGGGGGCCGCCACCCCGTCTGCTGCAGGGAGTTGGCAGTGCCGCGACTCAAACTCCTGCAGCCACTCCGGCGTGAGGGACCTCTGCAGCGTCTCCCACAGGTCCTCGTCGAAGTTCATGCGGGACCGCAGGGATTCCTTCCTTCGCAAGATCTCCGCAGGCGTGCCACGGGGCTTTCCACCACTGCCCGCGTACTGGTTGCGCAGCCGCATGCGGTGCGGCAGGGCAATAAAAGGATTCTTCAGCCCAATGCTGAAAAGCTCCGCCGCCGCACGCGAGTCCGTGACAAGAAGAAGAAGCTGAACATATTTTTCCTCCCCGACCGCGTCTGCCAGGGGCGTCGCCGCAGCGTCAATGAAGAGAAGACGATCGGGGGGCGGGGGCACCGCGCCGCCGCTGCTGCTGCTGCTGCTGCTGCCTCCGTACGTTGCCTGCAGCTTGCGGCGCACAGTCGGTGTGAGAAGGTTATACAGCTCCGTCTGCAGCTGCAGCAATACACTTGGCTGCAGCGGCTGCGGGTGCTCCAGCGGGACCTCCAGCACGAACTCCGGTCCAGTGAAGAGGTGCGGCTCCACCATCGCACCGCCGTCCAACGCGTGCAGCTCCCTTCGCCTTCCTACTTCGCCTCCGCGCGGCCGTGGGAGGTCGCAGGCAGCAAGAGACAGACACCGCCACCACTACTTCTACTTCCTCTTCTCCCTGCAACTCCAGTGCGGGACGGCCAAGTAAGAGGGGAAAAGCAGAAGGACGTGAGAGAAGTCAGGGCCCGCTGCGACAAGAGGGAGAAGCTGCTGTGGCTGCGATGGAAATAACAACACGCAAACCGAACAGCATAAAGGGGAGTTGTGTGCGCCCTCCCACGAGCGCGCCGCCCCCGTTCGGTTGCAGCGAGAGGGCACCGGAGTGGATGGGAGGGTGCCGGTTAGCCGGTATTCACCTCACTCATGGACATGAGTGGGGACGGCACGGCGAAGAGCGGGGCCGACGCCAGCACACAACGTCGCACAGCCGCCTGCAGCTTCGCGCCGCGCAGCTTTCCTGAGGCGTCGCTGTTGTACATGAACGGGTTGGCGAGGATTTCGCACAGCCGTGGCAGCGTGAAGAAGGGCCACGACTGCAGCTGCAGCTGCTCCAGGAAGTAGGCGTTCTCCTCGAGGAAGCAATCCATCTTGCTCGGCGCGGTGGACCCGCTGCGCCGCGGCGCCTCCTCCTCGGCGGCCGGCGCGTCAGCGGCAGAGGCGCCCGCGGTGCCGCCGTCCTCGTAGTTGTCCGCGGCGAGCCGCAGCACCTTCGCCACCATCGACGCCAGCAGCGGCAGCGTCTTCGCCGCCCAGGCGGCGTCCCCGTCGCGGCGCTGCTGCTCCTGCTGCTCCTGCGGCGGGGCCGTCAGGTACGCCAGCAGGCAGGCCTTCTCCTCCGCCGTGTAGGGCACCGCGGAGGTGATCGTCGGCGCAGGCGCCGCCTCCGGCTCCTCCCGCTCTGCAGAACTTTTATTGGCCGTGGGTGAGGGCATCTGCGTCCCACCGGCCACGCACCTCCTGCACGCGGGAAAAGCAGAAAAAAAAAAGTGGCAACAGCCGACGAAGGCAGTAACCGCAGCCACGCAATGAAAAATGATAATAACACACAGCAATAAACGACAAGCGTCGTGGAAGGCCTCGCAGCGAACTCCACGCACGCGCCCATAGACGCAACCGCAAACGCAGGGAAATTGGGGCGTGTCACACGCGCGTGAAGCAAAAAAAAAAGAACAATAATGACGGTGAACCCACACAGACATGCATCTACGCATACACACACATATATATGTATATCGGCCTCGCAATCCCTAGAGGAAAGCCTGACTTGTAGAGCCAGTCTTCCGCCTCAACTGCCAAGAGGCCGCTGCGCCCCCTGTTCCCGTCGTCTTCGCTCCGCCAGCTCCTCCAGCACGTGCACGGTCTCCGAGAGGTCCTCCTCGATGCGCCGGGCCCAATTCGACACATCGCCCACTTCCTTCAGCTCTGTATTCAGCCTCCCAAAGAGTGTGGCCCACGCCGTCATCTGCCGCTGCAGCTGGGCAGACCGCGTGGCAATTGCCTTTAGTTCCATCTCAATCTTTTTCTCTCGTGCGAAGGCGGCGCTCACCTCGGCGTCGGCGCCGCCCACCACGGCGTCGCAGGCGGCCTCGGCACGCTGCTGCACCTCCTCCCACGCCCGCCGCCCAGCCGCCCGCAGCTCCGCCTGGCGTTCGTTGTGCGCCCGGAGAAGACCCGCCAGCTCTGACGCCACCGTCGCCCGTGACGACGTGGAAGACAACGACGGGGCCTCGCAGACGGCGGGCGCCTCGCCCTGCACCCCGCAGCGGCTCTCGCTGCCGCTTGACGCGGAGGACGGCGGGCGTGTCACGCCCTCAGGCGACGCTGACGCGGCAGCATCGTCGGTGGACATGACGCGATCCGCAGAGCGGAGGCGCCTGGGACTTCGCCGCGCACACACGCAGGGCGTAGAACGGCACAAGAAGAAGAACAAAAATAAAAAAAAAAGAGAAGCGCCGTGGAACACAAGTGGCAAGAGCAGAAAAACAAACACACACAAACACACGAGAATCCGCAGTGCCAGGTGTGTGCCTCCTTTGCTGCCCCCCCCCCCCCACACACACCCACACAGACAGAGAAATATATATACCTGCAGAGTCGCGTGCATTGTTTCCTCGCTGCGGTTTCATTAAGTGGAGCGAAAGAGAGAAAGAAAAGGGGGAGGAGAATTGTACCGTTGCGTTACGTTCCCTTCACCTCAGAGGTGCCAATGCGGCCTCAGCGGCAAAACGCCTCGCCGCCCGTGTCACTGCTTCAACTCACCTGCGGTGCGGCGTGGGGGTCTGCAGCGGGTTGACTAACGGCATGGTCCCCACCACCGGCACGCTGTACGGCAGCAGGTCGTCCACGAGGTCAATGTGCGAGAGTATCATGCGGCGGCAGCACATGCGGTCAAGCTTCAGGGCGTTGAGCGCCTCCGCCTCGGTGTAGTCCTCGCTGAGCAGCTGCTGGTAGGTCTCGTAGAGGTTGCCAATGACCTTCCCGCAGGAGTAGCAGCGCACAGGAATGAGCATCGGGCGGAATGCAGCAAACCAACAAGAGCAACAGCAACAGCAGGAGCGACGGTGCCGGTCCTAAGGAAAGCAAGAAAAGAGATTGGAAGAAAACAAAAACAAAAAGAGGCGGCGCGAGGACGTTCGTGCGCGTGCAGAAGGCACAGAAAGAAGAAAGACATCCACTCAAAGTGTGTGTGTGTGCACGGTGCTTTTAAAGTGGGCCCACGTGCTTGCGGAAGTTGCCTCCCGCCCCCTCTCCGGTGTGTTGGCTTTTATTTTGTTTCTTTTTTTTTTCTCTTCTCATCGTTTACTTCGCCCCCGTGGGGCAGGCGGCCGCTTCGCCTCGCTCCGCTGGGAAACTGCGGCGGGGGGCGCGAGGCGCACGCGCGTCGGCCGCACGGACGGAGGGAGGCGCAGAAACAAAACCACCAAACAAAAAAAAAGAAGTCAACAGCGACGCGAAGAACCAACAACAAGAGGGAAGACAAAAAAAAAGGAAAGGGAGAGGTGGTGAGTGGGTGAGTGAGAGAGACTCACGCAAGACTCATTTCAAGCCACGTTTTGGTACGTAAAAAGTTTGACATTTTTTAAAACAGACGTAGTTGTATATAAATATATATATATATATACTCTGCTCTGCATGCGTGCGTGGCGCCGCCCGTCCCCCTCCACACACACACACACAGGGAGAGAGGGAGGGAAAGGAAAAAAAAGAAAAAAACACGCACACACACACACCTCTCTGCATATATTTCAGTCTGTCTCTTATTTTTTTCTTTTTGTTTGTTTGTTTGTTTGTTTGTTTGTTTGTTTGTTTGTTTGTTTCCCCTCCTCTCCCTTTTTTTTTTGTTTTTTACGTGTGCGTTGCAGCTCCACGGCCATGCGGCCCACGCTCTCTACTCTATGAACTTCTAGTTCCCCTGCCCCCCACCCCACCCCCCTCGTTGTGCGCCGCGGCGGCCGCCGCCGCCCGCTAGAGGAAGTAGTCGGGGGTCTTCTTCGACACCTGCGCCTCGCCGCGGCGCGGGGCGGGGTCAAACTGGAAGAAGCACTTGTTCATGTGCTCGTCGAGCTCCAGCAGCCCCGCCAGGTTGCCGCAGCGGTAGCAGTAGTTGGGCGCGCTAAATATCGTCACGAGGCGATCGTTGTGGGCCCAGCTGTAGCCGTCCGTCACCAGCTGATGCGCCCGCGCAATCATCTTGAGCCCGTTGTTGTGGCAGAACTGCTCGGAGATGTCGGCGCCGAAGGTGAAGCCGGCGCCCCGCGGGCTGATGCCCCACCCGTCGCGGTCCTCCGGGTCCGACCAGAGGAGGTCGCACATGGGGCCCTCGTGGGGCACCTCCTGCACGCGCTCTAAGCTACGAATGTGCGCCAGGCTATCCAGAGTCGGCGAGAGGCCGCCGTGGAGGCAGAAGATCTCGTTCTCCACCACCGCCGCCAGTGGCAGGTAGTCAAAGAGGTCGGTCAGCAGCTTCCACACATTGGCGCTGCCGTACTTGCGCACGCACTCATCATAAAAGCCGTACACCTGCGTGATCTGGCGAGACTCGTGGTTGCCGCGCAGGATCTGCACCCGCTCCGGGTACCGTATCTTAAAAAGCAGCAGCAGAGTGACGGTCTCCACACTGTAGTAGCCGCGGTCCACGTAGTCGCCCATGAACAAGTAATTCGTGTCCGGCGGGAGACCCCCAATCTTCAGCAGCTCCAGCAAATCATGAAACTGGCCGTGGATGTCGCCGCACACGGTGACGGGCGCACGCACGGTGTGAACGTTACCCTCCTTCTCCAAAATCTCCTTGGACTTCTGGCACAACTGCGCCACCTGAGGCTCGCTCAGCGGTTTGCCCTGCAAAACATACTGAATCAGCTCATCCACGTTGAAGCTGCTCGGCTCCCCCATCGTCCCAGGCGCCGCCGGTGCCACCGCCGCCGCTCCTGTGGAGGTGGGCGACGCCATCGCTTTATTCACAACTCCGGTGACTGCGGCCCGCTCCATGTCCTCCTTTCCTTCAGATTAATGATATTCTGCTCTCTCTCTCACACACACACACGCACACGCCCCCTACTTCGCTTCTCCTTGTTGGCTGTTTCGTGTTTTGTTTTGTTTTTTCTTTTGCCCCCTCCCCCGTCTTTCTCGGCCTCCCTCTCGCTCTCCTTGGAAGTATAGAAATATATATCCCTGTGTAATGTGTGTGTGTGTGTGCCTCGCCGTGCCTTCCCTCCTCGCGCCCTCCCGCTTCGCTTCACTGCCGTCACTCCCACCCCGCTCCAGCCGGCTGAGATGTGATGTTGGCGTACGCCGATGAAAGTTGAGGGCGTTTCTCCAAAGCGACAGTGCGAGAAGCGAAAGAAAAAAAAAAGGAGGGGCAAAAAGCAACAGAAGCAAAAGCAAAAAAAAAAAAATAAATTAAAAAAAACCGCAATGCGCCAACGCACAGGCACCCCCCACTCTCCCCATGTGTGCCTCTTATAAATCATGCTGCCCCACTCCTCTCCCCCACTCCCGCAACCCCTACAGACGCTAATGCCCGCACCATCCGCGATGGTGCGGCTGCTAGTGCACGCTCGACGTCTCCCGCTCTTCCGCACGCCTCAACGAAGCGGGTGGCGTTGGCGTCCACAGCCGCCGAAGAAAGAAAGCCCAACCGAGCGAAGAAGGGGACGACGGCGGCAACGATCAGCCCCCAGCAAAGAGGACACCCGAGGCAAACGCGACAGGCATTCTCCCCACTCACAGCGGCTAATCAAGAACCAAACACAGCACGTCCATCAGGCCCCGCACAGCCTGCAAGACGCCCGTGAATGGAAGACGACCAATGGCCGTCACTGGGCCCCCGGCGACGCTGCTCTGAGGAATCACCCAGAGCGCCATCAGAACGGCCCCAAACAGGGCCTCCACCACATCCGCCTTGCGCTTTTCGTTGCAAATATGCCACTGCAACCGCAGGTAGCGGGTGAGAGTCTCGGGGAGGTGCGAGGCAAGCTTCCTGTTGGACGACTCGCTAACGATGGGCCCGATCCTCCATGCCTCCAGCGTATGCTGGGCCACCACAAAGTCCAGAATGGCGTCGCCGAGGTATTCCAGCTCCTCGTTTCGCCCCGGTGTCACCGCCATAATAAACTGTTCCCGCAGACTTTGCAGCAGGGCGTCCTGCTCAGCCACGGGGAGGTTGTGGAAGTGGCACGCCGCGTCAGTCGCGCGGAGACTTAGCTGCAGCGGCCGCACCAACTCCCGCTCAACGAGCTCCGCTATCGGCGGCGCCGTCTCCAACTCCCACACGTCAAAAATCGTCACCGCCCACCGCAGCGCCCCTCGCCCGCCACTGCAGGTATCCTTCCCGGGGTGGAAGTCATCCTCCGCGCCACCACGACACCGCGCCTCGTCCTCCTCGCTCAGCTCCACGGATATGAGGACCGACCCGTCCCCGAGCTCGTCATCCCGGACGTTGATGCACGAGAGCAGCAAGGCTGCGCGGGGGCGGAGGTGGGCTTGTTCTTCGCCCTCCCGCTCGGGCGCCGTGAGTCTGGCGCCGCCGCCGCCGCCGCGCCGTGGGCGCAGCAACAGCATCGGCGTGTTGTCCAACGGCGCGTCACCGCCCACGCCATTCGCCGCGTCCTGCGGGAAGTACACCGTGAAGGGCTGCTTTTGCCGCTCGCTGCCCACGCAGAGCGCAGCAAAGGCCCCCGCCCTCAGCTCAATGCGAATTTCCTTCGTCGCCTCCTGGCAGCCGTACGGCACGGCCCCGTCGCTGCAGCGCATGCGCGGCAATATAAGCGACGGCACGGCAAACGCGCCCTCGACGGAGGCAGCGGCCGCCAATTTGGCGGCATCGGCGCTACAACCCAGCAGGGTGGAGCCGGTCGCAAGCCACCTGGGACACACGACGCCCAGGTCCAGGACGCCGAGCCCCGCAAATGCCTTTGCGGCTTCAGAAGAAACAAACCGCAGGCATCGGCGCGCAGCCGCGGCGTCGAAGTAAAGGGGAGGCTGCGTCCCCAGCCTATTCCCATTGCCGTCCTCACTTGTTTTTTTATTTTCGCTATTCGGGTCCGGATCTGCCGCGCGCGACCACCCGCTAAGTTGAAAGAGGTGACGCGTGAAGCCGCGGAGCTGAGCCCCGGTGCCGCCGCCACTTCCACCGTTAACGCCCTCCTCTTTGTTAGCGTCGCACACGCCCTCGCTGCTCTTCCTCTGGTTGAGCGGCCGCAGCGTCTCCACGGCGATGTCGGTGGCCACCCCGTCACCATAGAGAGCCTCCGCCCGAATGTATCTCACCCCCTCAGTTGGCCCAGTGATGACGTCGGAGTCAATTTCACTCAGGTGCAGCAGCAGCACGCCCTCGTCAGGGGAATCGCTTGCTGCGGCACAGTACGGTAGCGGATGAACCACACGCACCATTCGCTGCATGTGCAGCTTCAAGAATGTCTGCGAGACGCGAACAAAGCTGGATTGAAGAAATACCTTATTTGCCGCCAGTACGGTGTCCCACTCCGCGGCCTCCCCGCTCTCATCCCCCTGACACAAGTGACCCACAGGCACCAGCAGAAGAAAGGGCCGAAAGTCTAACACGGCGCGCCCCCCATGCTTTTTCACCTGATTCTGCCAGTGATCTATATGCTCAACGTAGTCGTAGAGCTCCACTGCAGAGGTAAACTGTGACAGCACCTGCTCTAGCGGCAACAACGGATGGCTCTCAAAGACATCCGCAGCAGCAAGTTGTGCGCAGTGCCCCCACGCCGCCCGCACCCAAGCATCTCCCTCTGTCGCTGCCGGCGCAGCCGTAGGCCCGCCGCTCCAGCAGAACTGCAGCCGCCGCCGCAGATTGAAACGCCGCAGCAACGACACCAACTGCTCCGGTGTTGTCGGCAGCCAGGGCAGCGTGTGCCCCGCGTCTGCCCCCTCTTTGTCTTGCAGCTGGCCGTAGTTGCTGCGTTGTAGGTGATCGAGGATGTCCGTTGCGGGAATCCAGCCTTGCTTCATTTTCGTCTTCATGCTCCTTTGCCTGCGCGTAAATGTAAGCACAGCCTGGAGCAGCCGCGCCAGCTGCCGCTCAAACCCCCCCAGGGCAAGCAGCGGAGTTGAGGGCGGGGCCAGGGTTGTGTAGGCCACAGCGTCCGTGCGAGCCTCCTCCGTGCGGTCAGCATCGTTGGGCGCGACCGCGGTTTCATCGCTGTGCTCTTCCGTCTCCCTCTGCACCTGTAGTTGTGAAAACTCCTGCTCAAAGTACGACTCCAACTCCGCCGCACACACCTCGAAGCCTTCTGTCAACCACATTCTTCCGAGCCGCTGCTTCCACTTGCTTCCCGCGGTATATACGTCGGTGTCTGGGGCGGCGTACTTGCGCGCCCGTGACTCGTTGGCCAGGGACTTGTAGCTCCAGAGTTCACTGTGGAAGCGGGCCATCTCCCCCACATCCATGTTGCCTTTCCGGCAAAGGAAGAGCGCCAGCGCCAGCTTAATCACCCATCGGCCGCGACGGCTCGCGACGATGTTTTCTCTTCTGTTCACGCCATAGTTCCCCTCCGCACTCGGCGTGTGCTCCCTCTCCGATGACATTAAGCCGCAGCAGCAGTGAATATGCCGGTGTCTCTCTCTCTATCCGTGTCTGTCTGCCTGTGTAGGCACTCTCTGCTTGCTGACAGTAATAACTAATAATAATAAGAGTGAAGGCAGACGCGATCCCCATCGCATCCACGTGTGTGTGTGCGTGTGCACGTCCACAACGAGGCGGGAGGGAAGCAAGGGCAAAAACAAACCCCAAAACACACAGAAAGACGCACAGAGAATGCGACCATGAGAGTAGATGTGGGAGAACGGCACAATTCATGCCTCTAGCCAATCCTCGAGGTTGAACTCTGTCAGCTGCAGCACGCTGTCGCATATGTCGCTGATGGAGTCGTGCCCCCACCCCGCCGTCACCTGGGCCGCAGGTGCAGTAGCCCCCCCGCGACGGCGGTCGACACGCAGCGGCCCCTGCTCCTCCCCACAGAGCGGCGGCGAAAACGGAAGGGCGGCGTCATTGGTGTTGCCGCGAGGCACACCGTCCAGTACGCGGCTCTGCTGATTCCCCGCAGCCCCCTCCCCGCGCTGCCGCCTCTTCCCCGCCTGCGTCTCCTGTCGCCGGCACCGTCGCTCCGCCAGGCTGCTGTTCTCCATGCGCTGCAGCCGCTCCGCCAGTGCCGCCTCCATCTTCTCCCGCCGCTGCCGCTCCGCCCAACGCCGCTCCAGCACGGCCCGACGCTTCAGGTCGTGCACCAGCGCCCCCCACTGCAGCGTCTCATCGCACAAGGGACATGGGCAAGGCTGGCACGGCAGCAGCTTCGGCGACCGCGACGGGACGCAGAGACTCGCCTGGCTCAGCGAAACATTGCAGCCGGGATCAACGGGGGAGGCGGCACTCGTCGTCGAATGTGCGTCCGCGATGTTCACGGCAGGAAAAGCCAGCGACCCGGCTGAGAGCGTAGCGTCCACGGCACCATCGCCGCCATCACGATCCAGTTGCGGGTCACTGTTTCCACCACTGCACAAGTGCCTGGTAGAGGCGTCCGCCGCCGCCGAGTCGCGTCTCCGCAGGGCGTCATGCGTGAACCACATGGCGAGGCATGTCAAGTGGGCACGCAGGGCGCAGAACGGGGTGCGGGCGCACCGCACAAAGTAAGGCGAGCGAAGCGGCAGGGAGCAGAGTGAGCAGGGGCATTGGTTTGCCTCCAGCAGCTCCTTCACTCGGGCGTGCTGCCGAAGCACCTCCTCCTCTGAGAGATACCTGCAGCTCCGCAGGCGCCGGCCGGGGTTGTCCGCGTCGGGGTGGCTGTCGGCGTTGCCGCCGAGTTGCGCCGTCATGAAGTAGACGCAGCCGTCCACGGCGGCGTCCCCTCCCCCCTCCGTCCCGGCAAGGTGGTGGGCCGTGAACCGCTCCTTCGTCGTCTCCTCTATGCGCAGCAGCGAGGTTTCCGACAACTGGGGCAGCAACGGAGCCCGACGCTGCAGCTCCGCCACCACCTCCCCAAAGCGCGCCGGCTCAAAGACGTGGAGCGTGAGCTGCAGCCGTGCGAAGAGTTCGGCCCGCAGCAAGAGATGCAGCACCCCAACCGCGTATGGAAGGCGGTGCACCCCACGCAGCTGCGGCATGTGCGTCTTCAGGCGGGTAGACTTTGTCGGGTGCTGCCAGCACCACTCAAACTTCAGGGCGATGCGGTCCTCTCCGAAGCCGGAGACGCAGCAAACGAGCTCCCACGGACGCCCACGGCGCTTGGTGCGCCACGCCCCGCTCACGAGCTCCCCGTTGTGCTGCCGCAGACGCCGAATGGGGTTGACCGTGTAGCCAACGTAGTACTCCCCCACACACTGCGGGTCGAGGCTCGTGAGCAGGTACACGCAATGGAACCGCGTGTCCATGGCGCCCCTGCGCCCGGTCCTCGATGGGGTGTCGTGCGGCGGTGCTTCAAGTCCAGGTGGGCCTTCGCCGCAGAGGCGGGGGGTGAGAGATGTCCAGCGCGACTGCCTTTCTGTCTAGCTATCTGTGTGCCGCCGCAAGGCAAGTGGCCCAAGCAAGACAGAGGAAAGGTCCATGCAACGCCACCCACAACACGTGGGAAGGGATGCCGGTTGCACTCGGCTCTCCTCCACCACCTGAGGCGGAGTGGAAGGGGAGGAAAATCACCACCGAGCACACGCCCACACCGCCGCCAAAAAACTGCTAAGGCAATAAAAAGGAAAACACACACACACACGCGCACAAGAACACAGGGAGAAGGGAACGAAAAAGGGAAAGGAGGTGAGTGGTGAAAAGCGCCGGCATGTGCACTCACCACGGTCCACGGCAAGTCACGTGTGCAGCAGCAGCAGCAGCAGCAGCAGCAGCAGCAGCTTAACCCCCAACAGATGTACAAACACACAGACACGCACAGGCACACAGACACTCCGCCCCTCACTCATGCTCGCTCGTTCGCAGCTTCTCTCTTCATGGCTGCTCTTCCACCCGCTGCGCCTCGTCGTGACGCGGTTGACCCGTGAAGAGAGAAACAAATCGAGGGGCAGGCAGTGGGAGGTGGGGAGTTAAAGGTGCAGGTAGCCGCAGCCTTTGTGGCAGCAGGGGGCGGGCAGTTTGCTGGGGTTTCAGTCCTGCCTTTCCCTTATTATTTTTGTTTTTGTTTTTGTTTTGTTTTCCTCTTTCCTCCTTTTACTCCACCTTGTTTCATGGGGGCGGGCGAAACGTGCAGGGGCGGGGGGCAGCAGAAGAAGGCAAAGGTAAAATAAATAAATAAAAACGCTCGCCCAGGCAGCCTCCCCAACCACGCTGGTTCCCTTCTTCCTCTTCGTCTTTGCCCGTCCGCCACCTCTTTTGCTGAACGGCGCTCGCACGCACACGCACGGACGCACGCACGCGCGGTCCCTCGGGCCTCTCTTCTCTTCCCCGCCGCAGGCCGCGCCTTCCATCCCCGCCGGAGCCTGCAGGGCGCACAACACACATGCCTCGTCGTGGAAGACGCACCCGGGGCGCGACGCCCAGGTGAGAGTAGGGCGAGAGGCACGCATTTACATCATACTGGCGCCAGGAACAAAGAGGCGCTGCAGCACACGTGTGTGTATACGTGTGCGCGCGTCACACACACACGCACGCACGCACGCACGCACGCAAAGGCTGAGGCGTCACGGCGGGGAGAGCAGGAGAGGAAAGCGGGCAAAGCCGTCGCGGGAGCGCGCCGCCTACGTCATGGACTTCCTCACCTCGTGGTGGAGGTGTACAAGCAGCTGATCGTAGCTCATGGAGCCGCCCCCGTTCTCCTCCTTCAGCTGCCGGAAGAACGCCTCCTCGGCGCGGTCCTTCTCGTGGAGGATCACAAACCGCCGCATGCCATCATCCCGCAGGAGACAGGCGTACAAGACGTTCTTCAGCTTCTCCCCAAAGTCGTCAAAGAACACCGTGCGGCCAACCTGCGAGGCATCCGCGGTGCCGAAGAGCTCCAGTGCCACCTCCGGCGCCACCGCGGAGCCGACCCACATGTACACAATTCGTGCCTGCTCGTCACAGAGCACGTAGACGCCGTCGTTGGTGATGCTGTCAAAGATGAGCTGCCGCCAAGCCGGCATCACGCAGCGGCCCGTCTCCGGATCCAGCACGCCGCTCTTTGGGTCGGCGGGGAGGCGGTGGACGGCGTACAGGGTGGGGTACAGGTAAGTCACGCACTGATGCATGGGAAGCGTCATGAGCAGGAAGAGCTTCTGCACGCGGTCGTCAATGGGCACGGTGGTGCCCTCCACAAACGCGTCCGCCTTCAGCAGCGAAAGCACAAACAACGGAATCAGCCGCAGGCGCGAGGGCATCAGCAGCGAGGAGGTGACGTTGGAAGTGCACACCCGACGGTAGGCGATGAGCATCTTCAGTACCCGGTCCTGTGCCGCGCTGCGGGCGTACTGCAGCCCCTTATTCACGGAGTTCCCAATCGCCTCGTGAATGTAGCCCATCAGTGTTGCCTCCAAGTCGGCCTCAAACACGCCCGAGAGGGTTGTGACCACCGGCATGCGGAAGGAGTGCACCCGCACGCGCCTCTGCCCGCCACGGGTGGTGTACAGCAACGCCGTCTGAAAGTAGGCGTAGGACGTCTTCTCCAGCTTCCCCTCGTGGGCAAACTCTACAAAGAAGGTGGAGGAGCCCTGCACGTGGGCGAGATCCATGTCGTGTGGGTCTTGCGACATGAAGTGGCCACGGTAGGCCTGCACACGGATGCCGGCACTGCAGCGAACACGCAAGATGCCCGCATAGCCAGCCTCCTCCAGTAGTGTCTGGTTCAATGCGGCCTGCACCTTCGTGGCGTCTGTCTCGCGGTCGTAGTTGGAAAAAAGGTGCACACGACCGTTGGAGAGGTGACACGGCTGCGAAATGGTCACCAATTCACAGTACTCATCCGCAAACATGTGGAGGTCAAAGGAGATCTGCTGCTTCGCACACGCAGTGGCGGTTGTCCGCCAAAACCCTTCCATGGGCCGCAGTAACTCCTTCTCCTTGTCGGTGCCGTATAAAAGATGTTGCTCCCGAAGCTTCAGGGCGCCAACGCCGCGCTGTGGCGCTTTGTGTCCGCACAGAATGACACGACCGCCGTGCTGCCCCGCAAGCACCAGCGTGGCAACCTGCACAGCGGCTCCCATGACGCAGTCCGACTCCCGGAGGTCCTCGGCGTACTCCATCACGCGCATCAGGAAGGCGTCCACGAGGTCGAGGTCGGTGCCCAGCGTCAGCCAACAAAGGCTGGTGAACGGGAGCGGGACGAATGGGTTGTCGACGTCGGCCACAATCAGCTGCGGGATGCGGGGGTGACGCACGTTGTAGAAGTGCAGCGTGGCCGCGTATGTGATGAAGGCCACACGGCACTGCGGGTAGTACTCGGCCATTTCATGCAAGGAGCGCATCAGGGCGTCCACGTAGTCCGGAAGAAACGTGGCTGTGGCCTTCTGCGAAACATCCAGCAGGAACAAGTAGTGCATCGGTCGCACCGCAATCGGGGTTTCCTTCTCGTCGCGGAGGGCGTACTCCGCGTAGGGCCCGACGTCGTACTCCACGCTGCCACGGCTCAGCTCCGGCCGCTCCCCTCGGTCCAGGCGCTGGCTGCGGGCGTCCAGGTTGCAAAAGTCCTCGCTTGCAACCTCGTTCGCCATGCTGCAGAAGGGGCAGAGCCAATACCGCCCCATTTCAGTGAAGCGTGCGTGGCACGAGATGTAGGCGCGGCAGCGGTGGCAGCGCACCGGCGGCCGGCCCTCCACCAGCGGCACCTCCTCGCGTGGATGCAGGGGACGGCAGAGTGGGGCCAAGACGGCGCCGAAAAACACCTTGCTGTCCTTCACAAGCCGCTCCTCGGCGGGAACGGAGTTTGTGGTGGGGCGAAAAAACTTTGGATTCGCGTTGCCATCATCAACAGCGATAAACCCTGTGGCGCTTAGCGGCAGCTGACCCGAGGACGTAGGAATCTCCTCCGTTCCGGGCTTCTGCGGGATGTCGCGGCGGGGGTTGGGGGCACTTTTTAGGTCCACGCTGCGCTTCGGCGGCGGTCGCGCGCACCTTCCGGTGGGCGAGGCGCACTGCTCCCGTTGACTGGAAGCACGGCTGGGAGGAGCGGGGGCTCCCTGTGGGCGCTGCTGCTGCTGCATTTCTTCTAACTGCTGCGTCGTCGCGAGCCCCATCCCGCCGGCGCCGACCCGAGAATTCGACGCAGGTGCAGCAGTCTGCTGCGTCTGCTGTTGCGGTGGCATCAGCGGCTGCTCTGGCTGTGGCTGTAGCTGTGGTTGCAACTGTGGCTGCAGCTGTGGTTGTTGTGCATAGTTGGGGGCGGGATAGTAGTTGCTATAGTCCTGCACCCCGTTCATTGTCGCGGCTGCATAAGGATCGCGATACTGGGCAGGCAGTTGGGTCCCATTGTTCATGGGAGCAGTAGGAGCAGTAGGAGCAGCAGGAGGGGCGATGCCGTACTGCGGGTTTGTGTATTGCGGCCACTGCAATGGGGAAGGGAACGCCTGCGCCTGCGCCGGTGGCGACTGCTGCGGCTGCTGCCCCTGCGGGTAGTAATACGGCTGCTCCGGCTGCTGTCCGCCGCCGTACGGGTTGTACATCGGGTCTGTAAGAGTGGGAGAAAAGGGAGAGAGTGAGAGTGAGAGTGAGAGCGTGGAGGAGTGAGAGAGGCACAGAGGCAGCCACGCTGGGCCGGCTGGTGGCCTTCAGGCGCCAGAGCGCACGAGGATTGTGTGCCTCGCCTTCTCCACTCCTTCTTGCGGCTGCGGCTGCAGCTGCGTGCTGTCCCCTCCCGCAGGCACGCAAACTGCAACTAACCGTGTTGGCAGAGACACTCGCACGCAGGCGGAGCTGCGGGGGCGCGGGAATCCCCTTTTTTTCTGCTTTCCGCCTGCGTGTGTGATGCGTTGCCGCCGCGTCGCCGCGCGGAACCCTCGCGAGGGACGACAGGCAAAGAGAAGAAGACGCGGTCAAGGCGCGCAGGCCGGTTTGCCGGGCGCGAGGGCCGCGCCGCACGCACAAACGCGGCCCGCTGCAAGTTGTGCGCGGCGGCAGCAGCAGAGGGGAGCAGAAGCCAACACGATTTGCAATTAAAAAAAAACGATGGCCCTCACGTCCTCAGAGACACGACCGCAGATGTAAAGGGGGAGGCCAAAGGCAAGACGAGAAATGGACAAGAAGAAGAAAAGAAAAAAAAAGGGAGAGGCAAAGAAAGAAACAGCAACAACAACGAGAAGGAGGTCAGCGAGGGAAGGCCCGGAGTGTTGTAAGGCGCCCCATTCGTCGCTGCCCGCGCCCGCCTCCACGCGCTCCGCGTCGCTCTTCGGTGGGTGTATTATTCCCTCCCCCCCTTTTTTTTTTGCCTCGGGCCCCTCCGCTGCTTCCCTCGGCTCCTCCGCTGCACGGCCGCGGCCACCCGCACGCACAGGCACCCCAGACTTTATATAAGAGCCTAACACAGGCACCGTACACGAACATAGCCGCCCACGCCCACGCGCACATACGCACAAAGATACATACAGAGACGCACACACACACACACACACAAACAGTGAAAGTAAGTACGCCAATCAAATGGTGTGTGACACACATTACACACTCTGAGAAGGGGTAGGAGGTGTTGCTTCCGCTTCTTCTTCTTTTTCCCCTCTCTACGCTGTTG